AATGTGCTGTGGCAGCTAGTGGTCAGCGTGAGTGGACAGAGGAGGGGCCGCCTGCGGGGCCACAGAAGACGCTTCTCTTAGAATTCACAGGGCTTGTTGCAAAAAGGAGAAACTGAAAATGTTATCCTGTGTTGCTCTTATCAAAGGCATAATTTTAGGCAAAATTTAAATGATCATAGTTGTTTTATTCTATTTATTGAAACTCAAGCAGTTCATGTTTCTAAATCTCTGTGTTTTGTGGGTGTGGGCCAGGGTTCGAGATTTTGAAGCAGATGTTGTCAGAAGAAAGAGTTGTGCCACACCTCCCGCTGGCCAAAATTTGGGAGTGGCTGGTGGGTGTGGCTTGTCGCCAGACCGGCCACCAGCGATTAAAAGCCATCCACCTGCTTCTGAGGATCGTCCGTTGCTGCACCCACAGGTGAGCTGCCCTCCGTGGGTCCTTTGCGGGGCGTTCGGACTGTGAGGACCCCCTCCCATCCTGTGGCTTGTCATTTCTCTTTCACGGGTGTCTGATGGAAAGAAGCTTCTGCTTTTAAGATCTTACAGTTCATCGAGCGTTTTTGGTTTTTGGTTTTTTTTACTGGTGGTACTTTTACTGTCCTGTTTAGGAGATGTTTGCCGTACTCCGTCTTGGGGTTGTGACGATATTTCCTGTGTTCTCCAAGCTTGTTTCTTCTGTCCCATCTAGCTTATGTTCCACATGGAATGACTACTGTGCGTGATGCGAAGTGTTGAGTCAGGGTTGGTTATTCGAACCCGAGTCTCCCCCGACCCCATAGACCAGCTCTTCCCTCCCCTCACTCCAGCGCCAGGAAGGTGTCCACGTACGCATACGTCTGAGTCTGCTCTCTTCCATCCCTTGGTCTTCCCGGTTCACTGCGTTCAGTGTTGTAGCTTTATGACAAATGTACATATCTCGGCGTATAGACCCGTTGTTCTTCCTCTTCGAGGATGTCCTGGATTATCCAACCCTGCATATCCCATGCGTCTTAGAATTGGTTGCTTCCTTTCTCTTGCTTTTCCCGCTTTAGTGAGGTGTCACTGAAAAAACTGTGGTATGTTTAAAGCGTAGAAGGTGACGATTTCATGTATGTCCATGTGGTGAAAGTGTTCCCTGTCGGGTTGGTTAACGCACCCAGCGCCTCACGTGGTTACCTCTGCTGTGTGTGTGACAACAGTGACCGTCTCCTCTCTTGCGGAAACTGGCTTTTCAGGAAATTTCTGTTTCCTGAAAATGATGCAGCGCTGTGTACCATTATCTCCTGTTGTCGCCATGATGCATATTAGATCCTCAGACCTTATTCACCTCACAGCTGGAGGGTTTGTTCCTTTGACCGGCCTCTCCCCGTCTCCCTCACCCCCAGCCCCTGGCAACTACCAGTCTATTCTCCGTGTCTGCGAGTTTGTTCGGTTTGTTTGGGTTTCCACGTAGAATTGAGATCGCCCAGGGTTTGTCTTTCTCGGGCTTATTCTACTCCAGGCCCGTCCGTGTTGCAAACAGCCACGCTCTCGTGGCTGAAGAATACTCCGTTGTGTGCCCAGCACCACATTGGCTGTATCCGCTCTTCCATCAGCAGACACTCTTGCTTATTTCCAGCCTTGGCCATTGTGAACATTTGAGCGCAGGTATCTTTTGGAGGTAACGATTCGTGTGCTTTTGCTCCAAACCCACTAGTGCGATTGCTGGATCGTACAGTAGTTGTGGTTTCAATTACTCGGGGAACCTCCATCTCGGTCTCCACAGTGGCCGCACCCGTGTGCGTTCTCACCAGCACTGCGTCCTCGCCAACACCTGTCGTCTCCTGTCTTTTCGATGATAGCCATCCCCACACATGCGAGGCCGTATCTCGTCGTGGTTTGACTTGCATTTCCCTGATGATGAGTGATACAAGCCCCTGTCTTTTCATGTGTCTCTTGGCCATCGGCATGTCTTGTTTGGGAAAGTGTCCGTTCAGGTCCTTTGATTATATTTTAATTGGGTTATTTGGGTTCTTTTGAAATCGAGTTAAATGAGTTCCTCGTATATTTTGGATGTTAATCCCTTATTGGGTATGTGGTTTAAAAATATCTTCTCCCGTTCCATAGATGCCTTTTCATTTGTTGATGGTCTCCTTTGCTGCGCAGAAGCTTTTTAGTTTGATGTAGTCCCATGTCTCTTTGCTTTTGTGTCAGATTCAAAAAACTGTTGCCAAGACCAATGTCAAGGAGCTTAGCCCTTATGTTTTCTTGTGGGAGTTTTGCAGTTGGAGGTCTCTCATTCAAATCTTTAATCTATTTTGACTTGATTTTGTGCGTGATGTAAGGGAGGGAGCCAGTCTCGTGCTGTTGTATGTGGTTATCCAGTTTTTCCAACACATGTGTTGAGGAGACTGTCCTTTCCTCATTGCACATTCTTGGCACCTTTGTCAGAATTAATTGGCCGTTTATGCATGGGTTTACTGCTGGGCTCTCTTTATGCCTGTTTCTGTTCCAGTACCATACTGTTTGGATTGCTGTAGCTCTGTATCATGGTTTAAAATCGGGATGTGTGAGGCCTCCAGGTTTGTTCTTAAGATTGATTTGGTTATTCAGGGTCTTCTGTAGTTGCACATGAATTTTAGGGTTGTTTTTCCTATTTCTGTGAAAATGCCGTTGGGATTTGGATAGGTGCTACATGGACTGTGTATATTGCTTTGGGCAGCATGAACATTTTAACCGTATTCTTCAGGCCCTGAACATGGATCATCCTTTACACTTGTGTGTTCTCCAGTTTCTTTCAACGTTCTACAGTTTTCAGTGTACAGACTGTTTACCTCCTTTGCAAAAATTTATTTCTAAGTGTTTTATTCTTTTTTACCCCATTGTAAATGGGTTTGTTTCCTTAATTTCTCCTTCTGATAGTTCGTTGTTAGTGCGTAGAAATGCAGCTGATTTTCTGTATTGATTTTGTGCCCTGTGACTTTACTGAATTTATTAGTTCTAATGTTTCTTCTGAGGAAGAAGTTTCGTCTTTGGTGTTTTCTGTATGGGATGTCATCTGCACACAGACGGGTCTACGTCTTCTTTTCTAGTGTAGATGCCTTTTGTTTGTTTTCTGCCTAATTGCTCTGGCCAGAATTTCCGGTACCTCATAGTGTTCCTACTCCACGTGTTTGTTTCTGTCCACGCACATGTGCGCACGCCTCCTCTCACCTGATGGGGTTTTGACTCTTGACAACACTGAACCCCATAACCCACAATTGTTAAATATCGGCTCCTCTCTACAGTCCTCCACTGCTCAGGTCTGAGTCACGCCTTACAGGTTTCCGTGTAGACGGCCTGCACAACATTCCATTAGATTTATCTCTAGGAAGTTAATGGGTTTGATGCTATTGTAATCGGTGTTTTAGAATTCTTATTTGTAATTGTTATTGTTTCTGCTCATATGTAATTAGTTTTTGCGTATTTCCTTTGTATGCAACGACCATGCTCTATTTGTTAACTTTAAGAGAGCGTGTATAGATTATTCAGAGCACAGTCATGTTATCTACAAATAACTGGTTTTAGTTCTTCCTCTCTGTCCTTAGAAGCTTTTTTTTTTTTTGTCTTTTTGCCTTTTTGCACTAGCCAGGACCTCCCGTAGAGTATTGAGTAGAGTATTGAGTAGAAGTGGGGATTAAAGATATATTGCCTCGGGCGCCTGGGTGGCTCAGTTGGTTAAGCAACTGCCTTCGGCTCAGGTCATGATCCTGGAGTCCCGGGATCGGGTCCCGCATCGGGCTCCCTGCTCGGCAGGGAGTCTGCTTCTCCCTCTGACCCTCCTCCCTCTCATGCTCTCTGTCTCAAATAAATAAATAAAATCTTTAAAAAAAAAAGATATATTGCCTCGTTCCTCATCTTGGAGGGCAGGTGTTGGCAACTCTGCCCCATGCATCGTCCACACACTCAGACCCCTGCCTGTCAGGGGTTCAGTGTCCCTCTCTAGCATTTCTTTTTTTAAGAGAGAGAGAGAGAGAGAGAGAGAGAGCATGTGAGTGGGGGGCGGGGGGCGGTGCAGAGAGAGAGTCTCAAGCAGGCTCCACACCCAGTGCAGAGCCTGACAGGGGGCTCGCTCTCACAACCCCAAGATCATGACCTGAGCCAAAATCAAGAGTCAGATGCTTACCTGGCTGAGCCACCCAGGTGCCCCCCACCCCAGCACTTTTAAGGCACACAGACACAAGGTGCCAGTCAGAGTGGAGTGATACCGAAGTAGCAGGGCATCTTCTGGTGTAATACGGAGCTGTAATTTTACAATGAAGGGCTCTCCGAGTCAGGGAGAGCAGTCCCTCTGCGTGCAGGCAGCAGAGGGAGGGGTAAGCGGACTGTGATTGCTGTTTTCCCTTTCTCCTGGTGTGAGGAAAGGTCCCTTAGCCCGTAGGGGCTCGGTTCTGTTCTTTTGAGAGCAGGTTGCGGTGAGAACCGTCTGGTTGAGTGATGGGTTTGAAACCGTCTTCAGATGGCTGGGCCCTTCCTGGCTGCGTTGTGGATGTGCTTCTGCAGTGTGCTGACCTTCCTCAGGCCCGGGGCAAGACTGGGTGGGCAGAGGGGAAAGGCAGCCCCAGGGGAGGGAGGGTGGGCAGACGTGGTATGAGCCACGCAGGTGCATTGACCTCAGTCCCTGAGCGCTTTCCTGGAAGCTCCGCTGTAGAGCTGTCTCTTTAAATCAAGCCAAGTTTTCCCCTTGCTTTACTTTAGGAAGACTCACTGCTCCGGGAGAAAGTGATTGGCTCCAAGAGTAAATGTACAGAATACTTTTTAAAGTCGTACATTAAAGAGAAAAGGCAAAATTTAAGATTATAAATCATAAAGTCATGTAGTGAGGCCCAGAATATTATTTGCTTCATAACTTTTCTCCTCTGAAGGATGTTGAAGTGGAATGAAAAGTACTTCCTCCCTCTGAGTCAAAAATGTCAACGAGTCTCTCCCCAGAGGCCCACGGAATTGCAAAGGGTTCTGGCCCGAGCACCCTCATTCACATATTTCTTATGTTTTATGAGCCTAAGATTGTAATATTGGTCATCACCGTCTTTTAAATCTTTTCTTATTCTCTGATTGTTGAAGCAACGAGCGTTGCAGAAAATCTAGGCAACTTGGGCGCCTAGGTGGCTCCGTCGGTGAAGCGTCTGCCTTCGGCTCAGGTCGTGATCCCGGGGTCCTGGGATCGAGTCCCGCGTCGGGCTCCCTGCTCAGCGGGGAGCCTGCTTCTCCCTCTGCCTGCTGCTCCCCCTGCTCATGCATGCACGCTCTCTCTCTTTCTCTCTGCCTCTCAAATAGATAAATAAAATATTAAGAAAAAAAAAAAGGAAATCTAGGGAGCTGACAGGGACAACCACGGATCACATTTTTCGTGTATTTGTTCACTGTTGTTTTTGACGTGGTCACACGATACTGTATGTGCAGTTCTGTTGTTGCTTTTTCCCACGTAACATCCGTCTCGAGATTCTTCCACTGCTGTTGGCAGTTCGCCGTAGCACCCATTTTAAAGACGTGCGGTTGATTTACGACTGTGCTCCAGGGCGTCCCGCTTCCTTGGAGTCCCGTTTTGAAGTTTGGGTTCTGCCCCTTTCCCCGTTTGCTGCTGCTGAATACTTTTGGGGAGGGTAATGACTTTACTAGACGTGGGGGGAGTCCGTCAGCTGGCGTCCGTCTCACGTCTGACCCCTGCCCCCCGCAGCGACCTCTGTGACCTTGCGCTGCTGAAGCCGCTGTGGCAGCTCTTCACCCACATGGAGTACAGCCTGTTTGAGGACGTGACGCAGCCTGGCATCCTCCTGCCCCTGCACCGCGCCCTCACCGAGCTCTTCTTCGTCACCGAGAACCGCGCCCAGGTGAGGGTCCTGCCAGGGCTTCCTCTGCTGCCCCGGTGGGGGATGATGGGGATGCGCGTGGCCTGATGTCCCAGGTCCTCACCTCTGCCCGACCCCCGGGAACACTGTTTGTTTTGTCAGGCCTAAAGCCAAAGGGGGAAGAACTGCTTCCGGTTAGTCCTTAACAGTAGTGAATTCTGGAAGATGAAATGCTTAGGTTCTTGTTCCTCCTATTTTTTCCTCCCACGAGCACAGTAGGCCCATTGAATGTGAGAGATGAAAGGCCTTTCAAAATTCCTGAGCTTACCCCCTCATTTTCTACATGAGGAAACTGACCCTGTGGGTGAGTCAGGGCAGAGCCCCCCTGGAACCAGGCACCGGGCTGCCCCTGGTCCAGCCCCGTCCACAGCTCCCGAGGGAGGCGGTGCCATGAGGTGCCCAGCAGAGCGAGACTTTTGTGGTTGCGGGTGGGCGTTGGTCCGGTGATGCTGCGTCTCTGCTCTCCCCCCAGGAGCTCGGCCTGCTGCAGGATTACCTGCTGGCCTTAACCACTGACGACCACCTTCTCCGCTGCGTGGCGCAGGTACCGTCTCCCTGTCAGAGCTGGCCGCCCCCATCGCCGCGGCCCCCCGGGTCGACATGGAGCTCTGTCCCGCCCCAGTCGCTTCCCCGTGCTGTCCGAGAGCCGTTGAGCCCATTTACCAGTGTCATTCACGTTAGGCCGTGGGCTCGGAAGACGCCAGCAAGCATTTGTGTCTTTTTTTTTTTTAAAGATTTTATTTATTTATTTGTGTGAGAGAGAATGAGAGAGAGCACATGAGAGGGGGGAGGGTCAGAGGGAGAAGCAGACTCCCCGCCGAGCAGGGAGCCCGATGCGGGACTCGATCTCTGGACTCTGGGATCATGACCTGAGCCGAAGGCAGTCGCTTAACCGACTGAGCCACCCAGGCGCCCAGCATTTGTGTCTTTGAAACCAAACCAACTAATGCCTTAAATCGACAGTTTGGCTGAAGTTTCCGTACACTTAGGTTTCAGATAATTTTGGATGTAACTTTCTTCCCTGATAGGAGAGCTGCTGACAGTTTGGTCCCAGGATCCCTTTACACTTCTAGATTATTGAGGATCCCCAAAAGCTCGTGTTGATGTGTTGTACATATGGATATTCGCCATTAGAAATTAAATGAGGTTTTAAATTTAGAAATTGAAACAAAAAATTTTAACACTTATCAGTTCGTTTTAAGAAATAATAGACTCATTCCATGTTAATATGAATCACACATTCTGTGAAACACAGCTGTATTTTTCAAATACAGTGGTTCTCGAGGAGGACGGTGGTCGTTCTTGTCTACCCTGGCGGGAGGCCTCGGGCCGGCACCCCAGCACCCGTGCTCATCCTGGCTCACAGGCACCTCTGGGAGACTCCGCTGGGTGCGCAGGAGCGTGAAGGCAGGAGAAGACAGTATAATATCTTAGCATCCTGCAACAGTGTTTTTCACCGTGCAGAGCCCCTGAAAGGGTCTCAGGAACCCCAGGCCCAGACCACACATTGAGAGCCTTAGGCTCACAGACCCCTTGAATATCCCGGCACTTGTGGTCCAACACTCCAGTGGGCAGATGGGGACGCTGAGCTCAGACACGGGGGAGCTTTGCCCTGGGCCACGTGGGAGTAGGCATCTATTCCTGACGAGTCTGCTCAGTGAACACAGGGTCCTCTCGCAGGGAAGACGCGGGAATCCCCCATCAACTGAGAGGTGTTTGTGTGCATTCTCCGCAGACCTGTAGGCAGAGTAGAAACTCCCTCCCTCCTAACAGGTCCCTGCCCGCACTGTCACCGCCACCCTGGTTTCATGACACAGCAAAAATCTGAGATGTGGCCATACGGCACCCAGAGCTGCCCGTCCTGTGTGCCTGTGGGCTGCTCCCTCTTGACTGTCCCCGTGGCCCGTCTCCTCGCCCTCATGCTGACCCTCCCACAGCCCGTCCTCTGTGCTGGACCAGTGCTCCGCGTCTTGCTGCGCTGAGCTCCTACGGCGGCCTCGGCCTGGCTCCAACGCACCCCTTCCCAGCACCCTCCCACCCTGTGGCCCAGCACTGGCTGGCTGTCTCTCCCCTTCGGCTCCTCTTTGTTCTTCGCTTTCCCTAAAGAGCTTGCCCAGACGCCCTGTGGACCCTGTCCTCCGGGTCCACTGAGCCCACCAGCACTGCACCTGCCTCTCTCTCGGGGGAGTGATAATGTTTCTGCCCTACGTCTGCAGCTCTCATGGGGTGTTGGGAGAATCTGTCTCTCGCTCTGGGCTGGTACTCCAGGTGAGGGGAACCACAGCTGGCTCATGTCTGTCCCTACTCGCCCCGATGACCCCCAGTGCTCAGCTGAGGGTCTTGTCCGGTTTGCACTTAATGAACGAGCAAATGAATGGTTTGACGTTGGCAGTGACCCTTTCTCCCTCCACAGGCTCTGCAGAACATTGCTGCTATCAGCCTGGCCATCAACTACCCGAACAAGGCAACCCGCCTCTGGAATGTCGAGTGTTAGCCCTTGCTATGGCGTGCATGGAACTGGCCCATCTGTCCACAAGGACTTTAGAGCAGACATCTAAACTCATTCAGGAAAATGCCTGTGGTGTCCGTGCCCGGCTTCCCTTGAGGTCCCACTTCCACCCCAAGTGGAAGGCCAAACAGCCATGCCTCCAAGAGCTTGCCGCGTCCCAAGCTAGCACCTGCACGCACCACAGCACGTGAGAAAGAGCAGAGCACTACAGAGCTATTCAGGAGGGCAGGTCGTTCAGAGGGTCTGTCCCTGCGGAAGCCACAGCCCGGGAAGAGCTGAAAGGAGCGTCTCTGGAAAGGGTTCTGTCTCCGTGGAGCGGAGCTGGCTGCGCTTAGAGTCGGCCCAGAGCTGCCCTCTCAGCAGGACCTGCAGCAGCAGCGGCCTGGCCTGGGAGCCCTTCCTTTGCTCTTGCTTCTTGAGACTGGGCAGTCCACACCAAAGCCGGTGAGAGCTCGTCCTGGCCACCTGCCAGCCCCCAGGCATGCACATGGCCGTCCCACAGAAGTCCTCGGGGAGAACAAGAGCCCTTGGTCACAGCCAGTGGGCCGTCCATGTGCACCGCTCCTGCTCTGACTCCCAGCACGTCTGCGTTTAGTTGTTTTCACATATTTCAGTTTCCACCTGACGTTTTTAGAACAGAACCACATGACTCCCCCGCGAGGCTTCAAGGGGTGCCCAATGGAACGGTCATTCGGGGGAGACGCTGTTCGCGTGAAAGCTTCTGTACTTGAAGACTTGAAGTGTTAGACGAGATCTTATTTTAGAAGTAAAAAAAAAAAAAAAAAAAACACCAAAAAACAAAGAATATATGATGATTTTATTTCTTCTCTGTGGTCACGGTTACCCGTCGCATCCACCTCTGGGACTCTGCATGCTTGCTCGGCTGTCATTGGTCTGGCAAGAATGCTGTTTTCCATTTTTTATGGTCGCAGTCTTGCCCTGAAGTGCTGATGATGATTCTCTTTCCAAAGCCATGCTTTGGAGTGTGAGGCTGGGTTGGCCCGTGGGACTCGTCGGCGTGAAGAGCGCCTCGGCAGCTGCCATTTCAGGACGGCATCTGGGCCTGAGCACGTCCCCCCACGCGGGGCCCATGGAAGGCTCCTCGCAGCCAGGGCCAAGCTGAGCAGGTCAGCACCGGCACGTGACTGCTGGTTGCAGGGGTCTGGGTTGGAAGGGCCCGAGACTGCAGGTCCCAGGAGGGTCTTCCTGCAGAAGCACTCTTGCCTTCTGGGTCAGGAGGCCGAGGGGCGGCAGCCTCCTGCAGCCCTAGAGCTCGGTTCTCAGTCAAGCCCCCAAGCTGCACGAGGAGCCGTCCTGTAAGGGACCCTTCAAAGGGGACAGGGGGCAGGTCCTGGAACTTGGTGACCCAAGGCCCGTTGCCCTGACATCAACAAGGCCTGAGGCCCTGGGCCCGGTCCGGTCCCCCATGGTGTCGGGATGCAAGCAGGCTGCTACTGTGGCTTGGTAGAAACCCGTTCTCATCTTCCGCTCTGCCTGCACCCCCAGAGAAGGCCCCACGTGCGTACCACCCAGACCCAGGTAGGTCTCGCAGTGCAGAGGGAGGCCACAGAGCAGGTGTCGGGGCCCCGACTCTGACGGGGTGGGGGGGGCGGCCTGGAAGACAGCACAGCGCGCTCACGCCTTCACCTTGCTGCCGTCCACAGCCCTCATGACCCGGACTGACTGACCCAGGCAGGACAGATAGGCAGGGCAGGGTCACGCCTCTGGGGGCTGTCACCACCAACTTTGCTCTCCATCCTCGGGAGGCCGAATTGTAAATAAACGCCAGCCTCGGCCCGCTGCTGTCTGTCCTCGCCCTGGCTGTTCTGGTCTCTCTGCCCACTTTGCACAGAGCGAGCCCAGGTTCTGCTTCGCACGCAGCTGCCGCTCTCCCCTGCTCGCCCCACCGGCCCGGTCGCCCTGCATCCCACCCGGTCGCCACCAAGGACCCGCCACCTCCGAGACCAGCCTCCCCTTGATCCTCCTCCGAGGCAGAGTTGCCAGGCAAGAGCTAAAACCGGCGAGAATAAAGGTGTCGTGAAAACACGTGCCTGATCCATAAAGAGATTCTGACCCAAACCCTATATATTGTACAGATGGACACTGCTCCTAATGGGAGGGGTGACTTATTTTCATCATCGTTTTTAATTTGTTTTCTTACGGGTTTACGATTTTGAATTTTTCTTATTTGTTTGAAAGAAAGAATTTTGATTATATCAAGCTGAGTGAGTTCAGCCTGTAAAAAGGATGTTAAGTTGTGGGTAAAATATGCAAATGAAGAGAAATATATTGTGCAAATTCTATATAAAAAAAGTCCAACTGTGTGTGGGGTTTTTTCCTCCCCTCCCCTCCTCTCCCCTCTCCTCCAAGCCCAAAGGGATGGAGTCACTGGAATCTTGAGGACTCGGGCTGGGCAGGAGCCAGAAGTGTCTCAGCTGGCCCGAGCCTGGACTGTGGCCGCGCAGGAAGCAGGCGGCCGAGGTTTATATTCACCCCGCGTCGCTCCCGCACAGCTAGCTGCTGGGAGGTTTGCACCCACACTGGCGTCCCCCGGGTCAGCTACCCCGTGCGGCTCACAGGGAGGCAGGGCTCCGGTCACAGGGCCGCCGCTCCTCCTGGCCTGCCTCTGTCCAGGTGTGGGGCTGCCGTCTGCCCGTCCTTGGGTCTTGGCTTCCTCCTCCTTCAGTCCTGCTGGCGTCTCTGGTTTGGCACCCACTGCTCTGCTCCCTCTTGGCCTCGTTCCTGGGGCCGAGCGCTGGCTTCTGTGAATTGGACATTTCGGTGGGGGCCGGACTTCACGGACCTCCCAGGCCCCCTTGCTCCAGCTGGAAGCGTCTGACACGTCTTCCTAGAGCCCCACGCTGCCTTCGAGGAGTCGGGCAGTGGCCGGGACCCAGTGTCGCCCTCACCATCCCTGAGACCGGAGCGAGGCTCAGCAGAATGGGGTGCCCCCATCTTCGCTCTCCCCTTCCTCACCCTGTGGCCTTCGCTCTCAGAAGTCGGTCCAGAGTCCACCTGAGCCCTGCCCTGCGGTGCGGTGGGACGCGGAGGGCCGGAGCAGAGGTGCTGAAGGTCGTGCTGAAGGTCGTCTGCTCGCAGCAGCACCACCGGAGCAAACAGCTGAGGGCCACAGAGGCAACGCGAAGTCGAGCCTTATTAGAGCAAAGGGCACCAACCAGCCCCACCCTCCTGTGATCCAGACCTGGAGGCCGTGACGGGTCAGCCTGTGCTCACACGGGAAGGGGCAGAGCCAGACCAGCTCAGATCCGGTGCCCGGAAGCCGCCACCACAGCTCCTACCTGCCCGTTCACTGAGCGCGCAAACTCGTACAACAGAGCCCCTGGTCACAAGGCCAGGCTCCCAAACTGAGGCCGATGGAAACGCGGCCCTGTGAACCTGTGCTGCACGCGGTCACTCACCTGATGGCCCCTTCTCGCCCCTTCCCCTTCTCCCCTGCCAACAGATCCCCCCCTTTCGCAGGCTGAGATAAGGTAGGGCCTTCCGCTGGCTCAGGAGGATGGTCATGCATGATACGTCCCCTCGTTTCTATTTGCTGGGTGCTCACGGTCCCAAGGCCTGCCCGTTGGTGCGTGTGCCCCCTAGTTCTAAAGTCTGCGGGGAGGTTTAGAGGAGGGGGTCCAGCCCCTGCTTGTTGCCTCTGGCTATGGCGAGAGCAAGAGGCTTGCACTCCCACAGCTCCCTGGCCTCCAGGGGAAGCACGAGGCCGTTGGAGCAGAGGGATGAGTCCGAATCCATAATCGCATCATCTGGACAGTGAATGAGCCCTAGAGCCACCAGCCTCCGGACTGCGTGTGTGTGCGCACCTGTATGTGTGTGCACACGTGTGCGAGCAGGTGTGTGCGTGTGAGAGAGAGCGTATGTTGGGGAGTCTCCTACAGCTAAAAGCCTTACTGACGCAAATGCAAGCAACAGTTTGGCTCTGAGAGGTTGAGAATGTGGGGTAGATCCGTCTCGTGACGCTCACACGAACAGCGTATGAACAGGAAAGACGTGACAATTCCCGGAGGCAGGCGGATCAAGCCACAGACGGCCACAGGTGTTACCAAGGTGCCTCTCCTTTCCAGGGACTCTGGCGTGCTCGCTTGCCTTGTGCTCACGACTTCCCACACTAACCTGGCTTGAAATAGGATCCGTTCCTAGTAACCTTCCACGGGCCCTGGAAAAGGCCTCCTGTGGGGCTACGGAGCGCGTATGTGCACACAAGCAGGTGGAGCTCTTCAGTTGCAAGTTAAACCCACTCCAAACGAACTGAAAGAGAATTCACCGACAAACTTGAAAAGCCCGAGGGTTGCATCTGGTTCCCCCGCCCCTCACTCCCGGGCTCTGTTTCCCTCTGGGGCTTTCACAGCCGAGGGGGTCAGCCTGACCGCTGCCCACCACACAACCCCAGGGGAGAGAGCCTCGCTGTCTGCTCATGCGAGTGGTTAGCCGATGTTTGCCAGCCTTGACTTTGCTTCATGTTTCAAAAACTTGGGAGACCCGTGAGTTCGCAGGTTGTCCTCCCAGATCTGCTGAGCATCGGGGCATCCGTGACGACCGGGCAGAAGCTCTGCCTGGGGGGTCCCCGTGCCCGCTGCGTGACCCTCAGCTGCCCTTCGGGCAAGATGCCCCAACGTGCCCATCAGCAAGTGTGGAAATTTACCGTACCGAAGTGGAGAGAAACATCCAAAGGCAACGGATTTGAACCCAAAAGGTTAAATAGAAAAGAATGAGTATAAGACAGGAGCTTGGGGCGCGTAGCATGAGGTAATATATAATTCAACACAAAAAACGTCCCCGGACCAGCAGTTTTGTGTGTCAATATGGTCTGTGGGTAAAGACTATAATATGTAATTAAAAACACATCTTTGCGCCAAATCCCACAAGCAATTACACGAGACAGAAATTGCTAGAAGTGAGTGCAGAAGTGGGCAGATCCAGTGGTAACGGGCCGGCGTCTTTCTCGACTCCCAGCAGGCTGTGTGAAAGACACGAGGCCTCCGGGACAGAGCTCCCGTCTGAGACTGGCTGTGGAGGGAGACGGTCCTGGGGCGCGCGTCCGGCGGATGAAGCCACAGACGGCCGCAGGTGTTACCAAGGTGCTCCTCTCCTTTCCAGACACTCCGGCGTGCTCGCTTTCCTCAGGCCCTCAGCCTGCCCCCTGTTCCCGAGGGTCCCTTCTCAGTGGCAAAGCCATGTCGTGCCAATGGTGGCCCTGCGCTCCCTCTGCCCTCAGGCTGCGTGTGGACCGGGGCCTTTTCCCTCCTCCGCACGTCACAGTCAGGCTTGTCCGACGGCAACGGCCGCAGGTGGCTGGCTAGCTCTGGTCATCAGTCAAGGGGCTCCCACCTGGGAGGAAGGGCCTTCCAGGCCAAGTGTGCCCTTCAGGATGAGAAAGGGTAGCAACGGCCTTTCCCACTGTGTAAAGGCCCCAGCCCCAGGCCCAAGTCGTCGCCGTCTGCGGCTCTTCCCAGACTGATGGCCGGCGGGAATGCCCAGTTCCTAGATGGACGGCCTCCACTGACAGGCCGGCCAAGCACAGCACAGCCACCCGCCCTCTGTCCGGACAAGACAGGCTCGCAGCAGTTAGCAACCACCCGCTTGTGTGCACGTACGCACGCTCCGTACCCACAGAGAGGGCCTTCTCCAGGGCCCATGGGAGGTTCCTAAAAACGGATCCTATTTCAAGCCATTGGATTGGATTGATGGATGTTGCGTCTCTTCCCATATAATCTTCTTGAGGGAACTTAAACCCATTCCTAGCCCTGCTGGAGGGTTAAGCAAATCACCATCCCTTATAGCCACACAGGTGATCGGACCAGGAGTGAACATCCGGCCCAAGCTACACACACCGTGGGGTGAGCCCTGGACGTAGGGAGTTCTGTACAAGTGGACTCCTGGTCATGCCGAGCTTGCTTGAGCAGGAAACTACTCTGCGGAGCGAGGGAGTCACAGCCCTAGAGCAGCTCCTGGTGCTTGTGTTTTCCTTTGAAGTCCAGCTATTGGTCCTGCACTTCGTTTCTGGGAGATACCCCCTTTTTACTTGGGTTAATGCGAATGGCTTTCTTAATATTTTAGGAAGCAGGAGTTGGATGGTGGAAATAATCTGAATTTAGATAGTGAGGGTGGCTGTTAGAACACGGTGAACATAAAACTACTGAATTGTGTTTCACTTTTAAATGGTGGATTTTATGTGATATGAATTATAAAGACATTTAATGCAGAAATTATATGCCATAAAACCCAATGTAACTAAGAAGAGGTTTAGAAATTCTAATCAGAATAAGAGAAGGGAAGGGATCTATCCTAGGTCTTTGGTGAAAACAGAGAATCCAAAATGCAATTGCACACTATTTTGCAGCTAATGACAGTGGAAAATATAAAAACTGTGTGTGGAGAGGGGGTGGTCAAAGTTTTATTCAAGTAAAATCCTAACTCTAAGTGCATTTTTGTTAATATAAAAAGGCAAAATTAAAAGAACGAAGCACTCATGTCAAGAAGTTAGGAATAAAAAAATAAACGTAGGCAAGATAACAGAAAGGAATCGAGATTAAAAATAAAACAATGAGTTAGGAAAAAAAAAGGTGGGTAAAAGTGGGTCCCAGGTGTATCAGTCACAATGATGACGGATGCACCATCCTTCCTACAAGCAGCCATCCCAGCCCTGCATCTGTGCTGAGGTAGCTGGCCCCCGGCTGCTCCTCAGAGAAAGGGAGCCTCTGAGAGAACGGGAGTGAGGCCCTGACCAAGGCAGGCCCGCGGGCAGCCAGACGTGAAGAGTTCTGCCCACCAGGCCGTGGCTGTTAGCATGACAGCAAAGACACACGAACAACTTTGTACACAAGTTAGAACTATGGCAGAGGGGAGGAGAGCTTGCAAGCACATTAGATTCTGTTTGAAAAACAACATAATGAAGTTTAATTTCTGCCTCATACTGTACCTCAGTATAAGTTCCAGAGAAAGAACTATAACTGGCCGAAAAGCCCATGAAAAGATGTGTAATGTTATTTGTAATTAAAATTTACATCAAACAATTGTTTTATCCACGAGAGTGGCAGAAACTAGAAAACTCTCACGTTGTTGGTGGGTGTGCCGACAGGTGCGGCCTTCCTGGAGGTAGGGTCCACCCAAACGCTGAACGCGTGTATTCTTAGCAATTTCACATCCAGGAATCTGTCCTGCAGAAACTTCAGGATGTGTGCACCAACGCATCTCACAATGTTAGTGCAGCTTGCGTGTAAGAGCCAAACACAAAAAGACCAAACTATCCACTTGTGGAGAATCA